AACCAAGCTCGAACTGCCTGTCCTCGAGGACCTCTAGGGGAAAAACAGGAGCACCCCCAGAGAACGGAGAACGAGCAGGGCCACTCACCAAGTGAGCGGCGTAGTCAAGGCGGTGGGAAGAGGCAAAGCCAGCGATAGTGGTAACAAGTGCCGAAACAGACGACAGAGGTGCAGTCGGGTGAGTGACCAACGCGGACAAAACACGGGAGACGACAGGACGGGAGGCACGGAGGTAGTCGGACAACGGGTCGTGAAGCACAGTGAGGAACGACTCAGGGGGCTGTGGAAGGACAGGAGGAGGTGGAACACGAGAGCGAAGAACAAGGTGGAACGGACCGTCTGCACGGTAACGGGACCGACGACGCTCTGGGGACACAACACGACTGAGGGGAGAACGACGAGTCCACTGGGAGGAGGAAAGGGACTCAACAGGGGGAACAGGAGGGGACGGTAGGGGACCACGAACAAAGCGTGCAGGTGCTGGGTCGGGGAGGTCGTGTAGTCGCAGTCGCTGCTGCTCCGCCTCCTCTGGCGTCTGCTGCGACGGCACCGGCCCCTGCAGCTGCTCCTGTGGCTCCGCCTCTGCCCTCTCCTGCTGCGACTGCAGCTGCACCCGCTGCTGCGAGCGGGACTCCTGCGCTACCCTCTCCTGCTGCGGTCGTGACTCCTCCTGTACTCTCTCCTGCTGGGTCTGTAACTGCGCCTGCTGCTGCGGGCGGGACTCCTGCTCTACCCTCTCCTAGTGCGGCCGTGACTCCTCCTGTACTCTCTCCTGCTGGGTCTGTAACTGCACCTGCTACTGCGGGCTGGACTCCTGCGCTACCCTCTCCTGGTGCGGCCGTGACTCCTCCTCTACCCTCTCCTGCTGCGGCTGCAGCTGCACCCGTTGCTGCGACCGGGAATCCTGCTCTACCCTGTCGTGCTGCTGCTGTGACTCCTCCTCTACTCTCTCCTGCTGCTATAGCTACTGCTGCTGCTGCTGCTGCTGCTCCTGCTGCCGCTGGTGGTGGTGCTGCTGCTGCTCCTGCTGCTCCTGCTGCAACTGCTGCTGCTGCTGCTGCTGCTGTGCCCTCTCAAACCGCTCACGCTTCTCCCTCTCCAACTGGAGGAGACGCTGCTCACGGGTCAGGAAACGTACAGTGCGAGGTGTATGCGCCACAGTGCCAGTGCCTCCAGCTCCAGCACTCCCAGAACCAGCACCTCCACTAGTGACACCCCCGGGGCCTCCAGTACCTCCCGTAGGAGCACCCCCAAGCTTCGCAGTGACCGGCCGTAGAGGAGAACGAGGAGGGAACTGCGGGACGACCGGGAAGCCGGGGGGCGAGGCGGGGCGAGGCCGCCGACTCGAGGCTGCCGTGTCCTCCACGGGAGTGACCTCCACGCCGACACCCACTGCACCCCCTGAACGACACCACGAGCTCCTGCAGCCCCAACACCCTCACCCTCCGCAACTGCACCTCCCGCACCCCCAGACACGACAGGGACTGGACGCTGGGGGGGGGACGACTGCGGAGTGACGTGCGACACACCTGACAGGGCAGGACGCGAAGCGGGGGGGGCTACCGGGGTGACTGGGGGGGGGCTCAAGGGTGAGGAACAGCGGAGGGGAAAAAACCTCAGTACCTCGGTGGGGGCGACTCCTGTAGTAACAGACAGACTCGTCGAACGTGACGTCCTGAGAAGCGAAGAACCCGCAGGTGACCGGGTCGTAGAACACCCAGCCGGAGGCGTCCAACGGGAAGCCAAGAAAGACGGAGGCACGAGTGCGCGGAGACAACTTGTTCGCGCCAGGGGCGCGAACGTGAGCCAGACAACCCCAGACGCGGAAGTTAGCTGCTACGCCCTGTAAACCTGACCAGAGAGAGACCGGCGTCACCCGTGGCCGTGCGTCACTGGGCCACAGGTTCAGCTGGTGCGCGGCGTAGCGGACCTCCTGAGGCCACAAGAACTGAGGGGCATCGGCATGGCAAATGGAGGTCCGGGCAACCTCCATGACCAGGCCAATGCGACGCTCGGCTACCCCGTTCTGCTGCGGCGAGGCTGGTAGCGTGTACGACTGAATGACTCCGCGACCCTGACAGAACGTCTCCAAACGAGTGGAAGAAAACTCACCACCACGGTCCGAGTGTAGGCGAAGCCCACACAGGCCCTGGGCACCACCCCACGCTAGTAGCCACGGCTCTAGGACGGTAGGCACGTCGGCCTTCCGTCGCAAGGGGAAAACCGTGGTGTAGCGGGAGTAGTCGTCAGGAAGTAGCGCTCCTGACGTAGTCCAAGGACCGGGGAGGGGCCCCAGACGTCCAAGTGCAGGGTCTGGAAGGGAGCCGTGGTGGGGGGGAACGAGGAGGAGTGAGGGGCAGCGCGCTGCCGACCCTCGACGCAAGGAGTGCACAGCGGCGCAGGCGAGCGAGGAAGCGGGGCAAGCGACTCTGGGAGACCTGAGACCAGACGGTAACGTGCCATCCTACTGAGACGTGGGAACGACGGGTGACCTAGACGGTGGTGCCAGAGGACAGACGGGTGGGTGAGGGAGCGACAGTCGCACGACACAGCGGCTACCTGACCTGACCTGACCTGGCCCGACCCAGTGCGGTGGGACCCAGTGTGTAGTGAGTACAGACCAGAGCCCGGCTCCCTGTGAAAAGTGGCCAGAGGGGCCCCAGTGGTACCGACTGTGCAGGAGGCAACAGGCTCGTCCAGTGGGAAAGTGGTGACTACTCCTAGGTCGTGGAGGTGACTGACACCCACCAGGTTCCTAGAGAACGAGGGGGTGTAATAACCTGTAAGAAAACCTGAGGGAGCCGCCGGACACGGGAGAGTGGTGGTGCTGCGAGCAACTACACGTCCCACAGAGGGGTCAGCCAAGGCGACAGTGACTGGAGTGCACAGTGGTGTGAGGTCAGTACAGTCGCGAAAGAAACAGCTCGACGCTCTAGAGTCTAGGGTGAAGGAAAGCCGTGCAGTCTGTGGGGTCGCACCCGAACTAGCTACAAAGGCTGGTGCTAGACTAGTGGTAGCTGCAGCTCCTATACAAAGACCCTCAGAGGCGCCTGGACTGGAAACAACACACGCACCAAGACTGTAAACACAGGTCTCTACTCGTGCAGACGGGAACGGTCCTAGACCAGGCAGGTGAGACTCAACTAGTGCAGCAGTAGGGGCCGGTGCCGTCGCAGCAGACGCCAGAGGAGGCGGAGCAGTAGCGACTGCGACTACACGACCTCCCCGACCCAGCACCTGCACGCTTTGTTCGTGGTCCCCTACCGTCCCCTCCTGTTCCCCCTGTTGAGTCCCTTTCCTCCTCCCAGTGGACTCGTCGTTCTCCCCTCAGTCGTGCTGTGTCCCCAGAGCGTCGTCGGTCCCGTTACCGTGCCTCCGTGGCATCCACTCCCGCCTCCTTCTCTCTGGTCTTCCCAGGTCTCTGCCTCCCCTCCCACCCTCGCCTACCCCTCCTTGCCTTCCCTGTGTCGAGGGGCGGCAGTGCGCCGCTCCTCACTCCTCCTCGTTTCCCCCGACGACTGCTCCACTGCAGACTATCCACATGGACAAGTGGGGCATAGCCCGCGTCCAGGGACAGGGTCGCGAGTGATACTTTCTGCTGGTTGTTGACGACTACTCGCGTTACACCACGGTCTTCCCCTTGCGCAGCAAGGGGGAGGTCCCTGATGTTTTGATCCCTTGGATCCGCGCTGACCGTCTCCATCTCCGCGCATCCCCTCCTTTCTCCACCTGCTTCCCCTCCTTTCTCCACCTGCTTCCCCTCCTTTCTCCACCTGCATCCCCTCCTTTCTCCACCTGCATCCCCTCCTTTCTCCACCTGCTTCCCCTCCTTTCTCCACCTGCTTCCCCTCCTTTCTCCACCTGCATCCCCTCCTTTCTCCACCTGCATCCCCTCCTTTACCCACTGCTTCCCCTCCTTTCTCCACCTGCATCCCCTCCTTTCTCCACCTGCATCCCCTCCTTTCTCCACCTGCATCCCCTCCTTTCTCCACCTGCATCCCCTCCTTTCTCCACCTGCATCCCCTCCTTTCTCCACCTGCATCCCCTCCTTTCTCCACCTGCATCCCCTCCTTTCTCCACCTGCATCCCCTCCTTTCTCCACCTGCTTCCCCTCCTTTCTCCACCTGCTTCCCCTCCTTTCTCCACCTGCTTCCCCTCCTTTCTCCACCTGCTTCCCCTCCGGTCCGCCCCTGCTTTCCCTCCCTTCGCCCCCTGCTTCCCCCCTTTTCCTCCATGCCTTCCCCTCCTTTCACCTCTTGCTTCCCCCCTTTCCCCCCCTACATCCCCTCCTTGGATGGCCTTGCTTGTCCTCCTCTCCCCTCCTGCTTCACCTCCTTTCCGCCCCCGCTTCACCTCCTTTCCCCCTCTGCTTCCCCCCTTTTCCCCCACGGCTTTCCTTCCTCTCCCCCCCTGCCTCCCCGCCTTTCCCCCCATGTGTCCCCCCTGCACGTCCCATGTGTCCCCCATGCACGCCCCATGTTCCCCCCCCCCCTCCCCGCAGGCCCCATGTTTCCCCCTGCACGCCCCATGTTTCCCCCATGCACGCCCCATGTTTCCCCCATGCACGCCCCATGTTTCCCCCATGCACGCCCCATGTTTCCCCCATGCACGCCCCATGTTTCCCCCATTCAGGCCCCATCTTTCCCCCATGCACGCCCCATGTTTCCCCCATGCACGCCCCATGTCCCCCCCCCCCCCCCCCCCCCGCAGGAGGCGATGTTTCCCCCCTGCACGCCCCATGTTTCCCCCATGCACGCCCCATGTTCCCCCCCCCTCCCCGCAGGCCCCATGTTTCCCCCCTGCACTCCCCATGTTTCCCCCCTGCACGCCCCATGTTTCCCCAGAGCGCACACGTTCATATTTCCCCGTTGATAGCCCCATATTCCCCCCCTGCTAGCCAAATATTTTCCCTTTTACCACTCGACCCCCTGCTCCCTCGATATTTCCCCCACTGCTCCTCCACACATCCCCCTACTACTCCCTTTCATTTCCCCCTTTAGGCATCTCATCCCCACCCCGTCTCCCCCCCATTGGCCCCCCTTCTTCCTCTCATCTCCTCCCTTGCTCTATTTCCCCCACTGCTCCCCCTCACTTCACCCTCTTCATCCTCTCATTTCCCTTACTGCTCCCCCTCATTTCCACCGGCTCTCCCCCACTTCTTCCCCCCAGTTCTGCCGGCTTCTCGCGTCACCAACTGAACGCGTCACCAGCAATTTTTACACGAGGTGAGTCAACCTTATTACTCCCTTCCCTCCCTGCCCTGCCTTCATGCGTCTTTGCCGTACACACCCTGTCCTGCCTCTCCCCCGCTGCCCTTCCCCCTCGGTCCTACATCCCCCCTCTACCTCGCCAGCAATTTCACCTGTGCATGAACAGCAATGTGCAACCTACTTGGCCTCAACTCCCCCGTTGCATGGCTAGTAGTTTCCAACCTGCTTGGCCTCAACTCCCCCGTTGCATGGCTAGTAGTTTCCAACCTGCTTGGCCTCAACTCCCCCGTTGCATGGCTAGTAGTTTCCAACCTGCTTGGCCTCAACTCCCCCGTTGCATGGCTAGTAGTTTCCAACCTGCTTGGCCTCAACTCCCCCGTTGCATGGCTAGTAGTTTCCAACCTGCTTGGCCTCAACTCCCCCGTTGCATGGCTAGTAGTTTCCAACCTGCTTGGCCTCAACTCCCCCGTTGCATGGCTAGTAGTTTCCAACCTGCTTGGCCTCAACTCCCCCGTTGCATGGCTAGTAGTTTCCAACCTGCTTGGCCTCAACTCCCCCGTTGCATGGCTAGTAGTTTCCAACGTGCTTGGCCTCAACTCCCCCGTTGCATGGCTAGTAGTTTCCAACCTGCTTGGCCTCAACTCCCCCGTTGCATGGCTAGTAGTTTCCAACCTGCTTGGCCTCAACTCCCCCGTTGCATGGCTAGTAGTTTCCAACCTACTTGGCCTCCCACCCCCCTCTGCCTTGCTAGTAGTATCTAACTTGCTTGGCCTCACTTCCCCGTTTGCATGGTGAGTAGTTTCCGTGCAGGTGTGTGGAATGGGTCGTCCGAAAAAAACAACGGCCACTGCACGAAAGGACAAGGTGAAAGAGATCGTGAACACCAAGGACAACGAGAGTCTTGCGATAGCTAAACACATGCGTCTTCCGATATGCTACTTACGTTGTGGATTGAGCGCCTTTATGGGAGAAGGTCGGACGGCGACCTTGGGTGATTTAGTGTACTTCCTCCTACATGCTGGTCCCGGAGCAAAGGATGCGCTTATGATGGCCGCGAGGAACGTTGGTGAGTGACTCAATACAAAGTCGCAAGTTTGAACCGGAAAGCCGGTGAGCAACGCGGAAACATAATGACGAATCAGGTGCATGTTTTGAGTACGGACAGTCTGAACATGCATTTATGCCAAGTCTGGCGTGAATCGCATGCGTTCAGGTGCCGACGGTGTGGAGGCAGAAATGGCCGTGCAAGAATGTTTGGAAAAGTTTGCCGGAAAATTTCAAGGAGGAAAGGATCGGGCGATTGGCCGACCGGAGGCCTTGGTGACTGGACGTGCGAGTGCCATTGGAGGGTTGGTCTACACGTTCCCATCAAACGTGACCAATGGCACGACACGAAGCATCACTTCCCGGTTTGGCCATGGGGGTGCACGTCGCGGGGCTGCGTATTCCGAGTTGCTGCAGAAAGGTATGAATGTAAGTTTGTGAATCAAACGTCTCTAGACCCTTCATACCATGATAGCTTCCAAAAGCATCGATCATATCTTCTTGGTGAGAATGTTCCTATATTCTCTAAAACTGCAGGTGGAGAGACGGCTGTAAAGAAATGAGGAATGAATGAACTAGCAAGCAGGTGGGTACAAGTAGGAAAACCTAGAAGTGTTGTACCCCATATTGTCTACCCCACTACAGCCTACACAAACTATAGTATATGAGTTTGACACACCCCCATAGGCAAAGTGGGGGAGAACAAGAGGTCACAAGACCAGTCAAGCAAAGCAAAGCAAGCTCAGGGTGGATCACAACGTCACCACACAATCCGAGCACAAGAGCAAGGCCAAAAGGCCAGTTCACATGCAAGATCATATGTAAAGGTAAACAAGCAAGTGCAGGTATAGAAAGATCACAGTACAAGCAAGGTCAAGAAGTGAGCAAGTGAGGCCAAGTAGGCACAAGACCTAGCATCGTACAGAAACGCTGATGATCACCAGGCGGAAGTGCCTTGGTAAAGATATCAGCAGTGTTGGCCTCAGAGGCCACGTAAGCAAGGCGCACCTGACCACGCTGCTGCAGCTCACGAGCAAGGAAGTAGCGAAGAGCAATGTGCTTCGTTCTGTGCTCCAGTCTGTGCTCCCGACACAAGGCCAGCATGGCCTTGTTGTCTACGTACAGAACTGGAGGAGAACGAGGCGCCTCTCCTAGGTCAGTCAGCAGGTAGGTGAGCCAGCGTAACTCCTGTGCAGCCATGCCCCCCGCGTAGATCTCGGCCTCACAGCTGGAGCCGAGAACAGAAGACGAGCGGGTAGACCGCCACGAAACAGAGCCGGAACCAAGGCTGAAGGTGTAACCCTGTGACGACCGCTGCGTAGCCTGGTCGTCAGCCCAAGAAGCGTCTGCGTGACCTGTGAGGACCACCCGACGTCGCCCTCCAAGCACTAGCCCCATGCCCGACGTACTGCACAAGTAGCGCAACACCCTCTTCGCTGCAGCCATGTGCTCTGGTCGGTGTCTCCCAGGAGCAACATAGCGTGCCAAGATGCTAAGAGGGTATGCAAAGTCAGGTCGTGTGCAGGTCATCAGGTACATGAGGCAGCCAACAAGCTCTGGGTACGGGCCACTCGGCTCTACGGACTCATCCGAAGGCAGAGCTGAGAGCGAGTGGCGAGTAGACAGAGGAGTGGCCTGAGGCGAGGAGTACGTGAAGTCGAAGCGCTGAAGGACCTGCTGCACCATGTGTGACTGAGTCAGGGTAATGGTGCGCTGTGCTCTGTCCCGGGTGATCTGCAAGCCAAGGTAGCTGCGCAGTTCACCCAGGTCTGTGCACGTGTGTCTCTTCTGCAGCTCGGACTTCACGTGGGCGAGTCCAGCAGTGTCAGCAGTAGCAAAGACCAAGTCGTCGACGTACACGAGGATGTAGAACGGCGGCAAAGAGGTGTCGGTGCGTAGAAACAGCGACGGGTCAACAGTAGAAGGAGCAAACCCAAGAGCCGCAAGTGTAGTCCTCAGTGTGTCGTGCCACTCACGGGGCGCCTGGCGGAGACCGTAGACTGGCCGCCGGAGGCTCCACTGGGTACCAGGAGGAAACGACCCAGTGAAGCCAGGAGGGCGGCGCAACCAGATCTCCTCGTGCAGGCTGCCCTGTAGGAAAGCAGTGCTGAAGTCAAGAGAGTGAAGCTCGTAGTCGCGCTGAGCGGCTATGTGCAGCAGCACCCGAAGAGTGGTCATCTTCGGGGTGGGAGAGAAGGTCTGAAAGTAGTCAACTCCCTGCCGCTGACTGAAGCCTCGAGCCACGTAACGCGCCTTGAAAACAGGCGGAGAACCCGGCGGCCGCTTCACCCTGAAAATCCACATGCCACTGACGATGTTCGCCCCAGGTGGGGGAACCTCGTCGACGTAGGTGCCTGTGGACTTCCAGGAAGCCATCTCTGCGTGCATGGCTGACTGCCACTGAGAGGAGTACTCACCCTCGATCGCCTCAGCGTACGATCGGGGAGTCGGGATGTCTGGTGCATCCGGGTCTCCCTCAGGGGCAATCAGCGTGGACACGAGATGAGGCAAAACAGCAGCAAAACACTGGAACTCCTCCTGCCTGTCCTCAAGGACGTCCGTGCTAAGAGCACACTCACCCCCGACGGACGGAGGACAGACAGACGCAGGCTCAGCAACGAGACTAGCAGCGTAGTCTAGACGACAGCGAGCAGCAAAGTCGACAAGCTCAGCAACTAAGGCAGACGCAGCAGTGGACTCAAAGGAAGGGTCAGTGACAACAGTAGCCAGGAGACGCGTGACAGTAGGACTGGCAGCACGGAGAGAGTCAGACTCCGGGTCAGCAAGGACAGGAAGGGAGGACTCTGGAGGAGACGGCAACGGGACACGCAGAGGAGCAGTGGACGGACGCAGTGCCATCTGGTGGGTGCCTGGGACCGCAGAAGAACGCGGACGCGGAGCACGACGACTAGTGCGAGTAGCACGAACAGGCGACGCAGGACGAGACGCAGGCTCACGACGCTCAGCAAGACCTCCAGTAGGACCAGTGTAGGGAGAAGGAGCAGGCAGGGGGGAGGCGGGCTGTAACTGTGACTGCGACTGGACAGGCTGTGGGCACTCTAAGGGAGGAGCAGGACCGGTAGAGGGCGGGAGACCAAGAACCTGCTCAAGGAGCGGAACGAAGTACGGCCGCGGCCGCGCAGTGCCTCCAGAACCAGCAGGGACAGCATCAGTACCCCCAGCGGCAGCACCAGTGTCAGCAGCACCGCCAGCGCCAACAGCGCCAACTCCAGCACCCTCAGACGCACCAGCGCCAGCAGAACCACCAGCGCCAGCAGAACCACCAGCGCCGACACCCCCAGCAGCTCCAGCTCCAGTAACTCCAGCAGCTCCAGCAGCACCAACTCCAGTAGGACCGGCAGCTCCAGTACCGCCAGCAGCTCCAGCAGTACCTCCAGCAGCACCCCCAGCCCCAGCAGCTCCAGTACCGCCAGTACGAGCACCTCCGGGACCAGCAGCAACAGTAGTACCTCCAGCTCTAGCAGCACGGCTCCAGCGCCGGGCAAACCACTCGCGCAGCTCCTGCGGAGAGAGCGGCTCCCGCCTCGACGAAGCACCGCGAGAGGTCACACGAGCAGACCCAGCACCCCCAGGCTCCGCACCCCCAGGCTCAGAACCCCCAGGCTCAGCACCCCCAGACTCAGCACCCCCAGGCTCAGCACCCCCAGACTCAGCACCCCCAGGCTCCGCACCCCCAGACCCGGCACCCGCAGGCACAGCACCTCGAGCAGCACCAGAGTCAACAGCTATTTCGACAGGCTCGACTGCGTCTACCTGGGACACACCTGACGGGGCAGGACCCTGAGGGGGGAGGGGGTCTACCGGGGGAGGACCTGGCGCAAGGAAGAGCGGCGGCGGGGGGAGGGGCGCAGTGCGGTAGGGGAAGAGACGGTAGTAAGGCACCGACTCGTCAAAGGTGACGTCCTGGGAGGACAGAACACGGCGCGAGGTGGGGTGGTAAAACTGCCACCCAGGCGCGTCAGGGGGGAAGCCAAGGAAGACGCAGGGAACAGCACGGGGGGACAGCTTGTCCGCAGACAAGTCGCGGACAAACGCACGAGATCCCCAGACCCGAAACGCAGACGCATCGCCAACCTTCCCTGTCCACCGCAAGGTGGGGGAGGTCTCAGGCAAGGAGACCCGGGGCTGAAGGTTGAGCTGATGCGC